TAGCGGATTTGGGCGCTCTAGCCAAAATGAATCCTTTTTCCGCTATGACCTTCTCCATTATACGGCCTTGAGTCTTCTTGAAAGAAAAAAAGCGTCTGGATGCATATGATAAATATGTTTCTTTGCAAAGCATTTTTCTGTTATATTTCACCGTGTCACAGGAAGCGGAAGCGAGTGATCCAGGGTGTGTTTTGGCCATGACCACAAAATTTGGTTAGATGGCAACCAATTCTTTTGGCATGCCAATGCCTTTTTGGCTATCCTAGTTTATTTTTATAGCCAATGTTGGTCAGTTCATGGGCAACCAAAAGCTCCACCAAAATTTAGCCTAGGTAGGGCAAACCTAGGCTAAAACCAAACATGTCCTAATATGATCACCTATAACATTGTATCCTACTGGGCAATAGTCATACCCCGAATATGGCAATGACGTAATGAAAATCCGTAAGTCACGAAGAACATTACAAAGCTCAGTTTAGCAAAACTAAAGAACACGGCACTAAACTAAGGAAATAGCAATTCAGGCAGCAAATAGAGCAAGAGGCTGCAACCAACCAACAGAGCATTTTATTGCTGGCAATAGCAATAGTAACCATTTTTCGATATCCAGCTTTCAGGACGCATAATCTGGATTCTCAAACGTCTAAAATCTCAATACAGTTACAACAAGTTTTACCACTTCAAGCCAAAGTCCAACGGACAAATAAGACCTAAAAGTACTGTATATAATACATTTCTCCATTGTAGCTTTGTCTCAGGGCACACTCCACATCAATCGAGGCACGAACCAACAGTGAATGATGTTTTTTCTTCTGTCTTCAGCGAGCTTCGTATTGAACAACTGCCCAAGCAAGGAGACGGTTTAATCAGAGATTGCACACAGCACGCAAAGATTATATGTTGCAAACAAATTCAGTTTGAACTTAATTAAAATCTAATATTAAGTGGTATCATTGAGCATACATCAGATCTTTCTCAACCATAACAACCATGAGAGCATTTTTTTTTACTTCTTTTTAGTTCATGGTCAAAACAAAAACTAAGAAATAGACAATCACGTGCCTGCTTTGAACCTAAAACCAACTAATTCGTCGCAACCACTTTGCAATTAAACATCAGTAGGCCTCACAAAAGTAGCAAGATCGACCGTATTCCTAATTATCGATAGGTGGGCCAGGTGGCTGCATCTTGAGGATCCAAGGGATATGTCAAGTGCATTGTTTGTAATGTAAAATACGTATGTAACTGACATGTACCCGGTTATTTTCATTTAACACAAGTCAACATAGTTAGATTTAGTAGCAATAGTATTGGCTTTGAAGACAGAAAAAGGGGTAGCAACATTGTCTTTGACGACAGGAAAGAGGGGGGAGGGGGTTAAAGAAACAAAAGTGTACCTCTACAAACAGAAAAATATTACTAGAACACATAATTGCATAAACTGTGCTGCGGTATATATCCGTTAAAAAATTTGTGCTCATGGCATTTCAAAACGTTCAAGAGGCTATGTAAATCTTTCAAACTTTTATAGTTGGCTAAGCCACAAAGTGTTGCACAAATCCGTACTCAATTGGTTTATAGTATATTAACAAGTTCAATAGTGGATGAAGTTATGAATAGAAACAAAGTAACAGATAGAAACAATCTGATTAATATACCTCCTTGTGAACCTTAAATACAAGTGGGTGAGCCAAACACATCATGTATTTAAGAAAGGCACAGAAGTTAAGTATTATGATCATTACAAAAATCAGGACTTGGTGTTCTCATTTTATAAACAAAAAAGATGGTTCAGCTAAAGTAATTGTTGACAAAGTTATAAGTAAATTGGTCCTTGAGAATCTCCAACCATTTATGTTTCAAAATTATAATGAAAATGCCTAGAAAACCATGTGAACTTTGGTGAAAAAACCCTCTTAATTGTGTTTGCACGAAACCTTGAGGTAGAAAGTTCGGTTTAAAACTTAATGGTGGTAAGCGGCTATTCCCTAAGTTCAAGAGGTTGTGTAGACTTCTCCAAACAATCTATTTCAGTATTGTTTTTAGAGTTAAATGCACTGGCAGTCCTAAAAGTTTCATCGGGGTGTCACTTTAGTCCTAGTTCTTTCAAAATGCACCTTTAGGTCCTCATTCTTTAGTAAGTGGTTCATGCGAGGTCCTTTTTCCATGAGCGCTCATTGCCCTGCAAGTGTGGCGCGTTGACCCACGCCACGTCGACAGAGGGCCCAACCACCAGGCGAGAAAATTACACTGGAGGTCCTAAAAGTTTCTAGGCAGTGTCATTTTAGTCCTACTTCTTTCAAAATGCATGTTTAGATCCTAATTCTATAGTAAGTGGTTCACGCGAGGTCCTTTTTTGCACGATCTTTCTCTGACATGCTTGCGTGACGCATTGACCCATGCCATGTCAACTTAGAGGCCGTTGTGGTTGTTCTTTTTTTTAGAGAAAGCCCCTTGTACCCTCCCCCTCTTGACATTTCCCACCTCTCTCTCTCTCTCTCATGCCCACACCGTCGCCATGGCTGGGGCAGCAAGCTCCTCGGCAAGGAAGCGAGTGACGAAGAGGAGCATTGCAGCAGCGTCGGCAGTGTTGCCTCCTCCACAAGCTATAGAATGATCGTGCGAAAAAGGACCTCGCATGAACTACTTACTATAGAATTAGGACGTAAACGTGCGTTTTGAAAAATAATAGGACTAAAGTGACACTGCTCATAAACTTTTAGGATCACCAGTGTATTTTCCTCGCCAGCCAGTTGGGCCCTCTGTCGACGTGGCATGGGTCAACGTGCCACGCGGGCAGGTCAACGAGCACTCGTGAAAAAAGGACCTCAAATGAACCACTTACTAAAGAATTAGGATCTAAAGATGCATTTTGAAAGAATTAGGACTAAAGTGACACCTTGATGAAACTTTTAGGACCTCCAGTACATTTAACTCTTGTTTTTAACTCTAGCTTGAGTAAGTGACAAACTATTGCAGGAGAAAATGGAAGCATGCACAAGGTACATATACACTTGAGTGACCATATACACCTGGCACATACTTGCATCCAATGTGCATTAGTATAATAAATTGTCCTAAATAAAGTAAGATTGGTCGAAGAGTACCTTCAATGATATATGTTCCATAGTTTCTAAAAAAATCTAGATAACCACTTGAATATTGGTGAAAAATCTGCATAACCTCATAACTTCAAACCATATATTTTACCCCAGAAATTGTGTTTGCAAGCAATTTTGGGATAGAAAATGAGGTTTCCAATTTATTGGAGTTATGCAGCTTTTTCCCAAGATTCAAGAGGTTATGTAGACTTTTTAAACTTCCTATCTCCATATG